AGAGATCAAACCAGTCCAGTCAGTTTGAGAAATATCACTAATAAAGTTTTCTTCCGAGAATCTCAAATAGTCACGGATATTAGTCCCCTGATAGCAAGATTTTAAAGATGGAGAATGGATGATGCAAAATTGAGAGTACTGGTCACTTATATCTGAGACAATGTTGCTGCTGGAGAGTTTAAAGCCAATTCTGTTAACAAGAGTATTGTCAATAAGACAAGACACTTTGTGTTTGTCTCTTACATTTTCGTACCTGGCAATGTCTTATAAAATTTACAGATATCCAAAACACAGGAGAACACTTAGCTGAGGCAAATTATTATTAACTTCACACTACCGGACATTGACAAAACAAAACGGTCACTTAGGTCAGGTGCTGTCTATGGTTAATTCATTTTCTATTTTTGGGTGGGTTGTCCATTGTTTTTTCCTTGGACAACCAGCCTCTTAATTTTTGCTAAAAATTGGTTGTCTGGTAAACTTTTTGGTCGTCTCAGATGACCGGACGACTGCTAATTTCGAGCACTGCAACTCCAAAGCAACATTTTTATTTTGTCAAAAGCTACTGATTCAACCTTTAAGAGATCTATACAAGATCATGGTTCCAACATCTTTAAAAATGCACCCCAGTGGAAGGTTGTAAAATCAATTTTTTCCCAAACTGTTTAAATCTTCTCAATATACAGTCATCCTACTTCAACCTTAATTTTATCAATTGTTCCTTTTTAGTTTTTCTTCACCTGTTCACTAACATTTTTTTCCGCATATAGTCTAACATTAGATAACATTGAAGGCACCCTTAAATTAGCTATGCAAACTCAAAATATCTTTTGCTATTCACCTGTGAGCAACATGCATGGCATTTACGCCTAAAAGTAAATGTAGTTATTTCAGGAAAAGATGAGTAAAATCATCATTTTTGTTGTGATATATTGTCTCGCTGTTTTAGAATATACCAAAACAACTATTTGCCTCAGTGTCAGTTGCTAGCAGTGGATATTATTATACCTTGATGCTCCACAGCTTAGTATATAGCCACCACTACCCACCTTCACTTAAGTGAATAAATGCATAGTTATTCAATATCAGATATCATTGACTTACCTGGGAATTTCTCTGCCAGCCTCCTTAAACTAGTCAGGCCTTCACTACTCTTGTAACAAGAAAAACAAGGAAAATTAGTGCATGCTGTAACCCTTTCCACCTTAAAACACCTTACCACATTTCCTGTGGTAATGAAAAGGAGAGGTTTTTTGACAATCAGTTCCTTAAATTGGAAATCATTTTCTTGATTCTTGTGATCTTTTAATACTTGATTCAAGTAAAAAAAAAAAAAAATTGATGTTAGTGCAACTCAATTCCAGAGTTCCAAGCAATGAGCTAACTTAATTTTTTTTAACCACTTTTTTTTGGATTAGCATGACAGACTTTGCCAAAAATTATGCACTTCTTGTACTGCAGTCTAACAAAACAGTAGCTATATGGGGTATAGGGACACTCACCAACTGATTCAAAATTCCAGGGAGCATTTCTGCAATTGCTCCGAGACAAGCACACAGAAAAAAAATTCTATTAGATTATAGCAACTGTTATGACTGTTTTGTACATGTACGTGTAAATTTTATCAACCATATTAATAGTTGACTGTTTCAACAAAACAACAAATTTTGTGAAGCACACACATAACATTTATTTATGTAGTAAATGATACTACTGGACCACAGAGTTGACCAACAAACACTGTATGCTGCAGCATGGAGTACCAGAGATTTTTTGGAGACAAGTTTACCTACACAGTAGCTCTATGGTAATCAGAGGATCAGAGGTTGCAACTAAGTCCATTGAACCCCTCAAAATTACAAGTGAGAATTGTCTTGCATATATCTAATATATTTAGGACTCTACACTAACTTTTCACCTTACTAGCCACATGGCTAGAGACATCTTAGATGTTACGACAATTTCAGTTTGTTTACTAGCCAAACTGCCTAGTGGTAATTGAAAACCACTAGCCAAAACTGAATTTTTACTAGGCTGTGGCTAGTGGGCTACCATTAGTGTCAAGCCCTAGTATTGAAAGCAATCAATCCCAAACATGTCCATATAGTCTTTCATGAGTAATGCATGTTAAATAAAGAAAAAAAAAAAAAACCCTGCTATAATACTCACTCTTTATTTCAGACTGACCAACCACAGCAAAAGTGTTGGACTGCAGAGAAGCTTGCACTGAAAGAAGTAAAACAACTCAATGTTAGACTGATTGCTAATTCTCCCCTCTAGCCGCTACACATTTCCTTATAAATCAGTTGCAAGAATTTTGTGTTAGATCAAGAAAACAACTTCTACTTGTGATAAGTTTGAGTGTTCTCATTACCTGTTTACCGGATAATATAAGGATATTATACAACAGTACATGTAAATCAGTTATAAGAGTTGCAAGGTTATATGACTAATTTTATTTGTTACTGTTTGAACAATGCACTTTAAAAGTAAAGTTTACTACAAAGGGGAGATTTGGAAAAAAAAAAAAAAAAACATTTTAACAATCCCAAACAAAGCAACAGACAGAAAAAAAAAAAAAAAAAGAAAAAAAGAATACTGTGAAGTACATTGACAAGGTGGGTCAAATTCTCAAGGGTAAATCTGTCTAGGAAATGACCACAAGGTGAACAGATCACTTTGAGTTAGCAGCATCCTTTTTCTGTTATCCAGGATTTTAATTATTGAAGGTGGAAAATTTCAGTTTATGTATGAAGTGAAGGCAATGTGAATCTATACATGCATTACTCTGAGCAAGAGTAGGATTCAAGTTCTCATGGATTCAAAGATTACCTTTTGGATTAGTAAAATGAATAACCATCCCATCATCTTTGATCATGTTAACCTGCGGAGGACAAATAAATGAAGACAAGAAGATTTAACTTGTCTTTTTTGCTGTGAATACTTTTTTCCTGATAAATTGGGTTAAAAACAAGGGTGCGCATTGTACATGGGGGTGTGTATTATACACAGGTAAATAGGGTACCTCTTCAATTCCAGGAATTGTGTTCACAGAAAGTTTCTTGAGGTTGTTCTGAAGTTTCTTATCATCTGCTCCAGCTGTTCTGCGAACTATCTTCTTTTTTCTTCTGGGTGTGCCCTACAAAAAAATTAAATTAAGTTCTTGGGTTCTGTGTCTCTTTTCTGCAACTTCCCTGGATGAATTCAAATCAAAAGCTGTGATAACCACGGTTTAAATGTACACTGAGAAGACTACACGTAGTAGCAGAGAAATTGTGCAAAGTAACAAGAGAACATTACTCCTGTCAAGTGGATAATACATGTAATTACTTCAGGCCCAGGGTTTATCCATACAGGCTGAAAACCTATCTGATCTCCACTGCCAAAAGACTCTCGGTGTAAATCTCAACAACTTTTTGAAATTGCCCCTTTTAGTGATTCATTTTGACATTGTGATGACAAATGATACTGTTGATTACAGTACAAACCACGCTACACTGTAATCCACTATCGATTTGTTCATTTTCAAAATTTAATATTTTCTTTCACACCAATCGATGCAATGGCTCTAAAAGTTCCACTTCCTTCTCATACTAAATGGCCATGATAAGGTGGTTCCCTGTGTTATCCAGACGCATCAACAGCCAGCACTGTCGCTGGTTACTCGTCACTAAAGTGCCAGCAACTTATATGTAACTAGCAGCTACTGCTGTGTGTTTTTTTTTTTCTTTTGTTGTTGCTTTTGTTGTTGATGTTCTCTTTTTTCATGTTTCAATGACTGGCTTCTCAACAGTATGCATTTTGCTGAATAAACACCTTACCTTTCCACCTATTTGAACTCCACTTTTTAATTTTGATACCTTTTCTTGGTTCATATTGGTCTGTGGAAAAAATCAAGAGTTTTTTGTATTACTCACAAATATCTTTTTCTTTCTTGCATGACGCGATGGCTGCTGAACCGCCTATAACCCCCCATGCCATGTGATCGGCCCCAAGCCAAACATACTACAGATGTCTTGGATGAGATTTGTTTTCTTCCTCATCTCCCCAAAGTAATGACAATTCTATCCACCTACTCATACCACAGTTAGGGGAATCAATAAAAAGGTTTAACTCCTAAAGGAGCATTCTACCATTCCCTCTTCTTACTAAGCCTAAAGCTCTGCATGAACATCACTAACAGGAAAAAAAAAAAAAAAACAACTTCAGGGTTTCAAGGTAACACTCGAGGCTTTGTACAGAGTTAGCAAGTGGAGGCACTGCAGCTGAGTAATTAGGGGGGGTGGACTTGTAATCCAGGCCCAGGTTCAAGTCTCCCACCCTCTACTCAGTGGATTTGTTCTCCATTGCCCTGAGTTCAACTCCTTGGCTGCACTCTGTAAATAGCCTACTGGTTTGCCTCCAGCCAGAGAGGATTTTCAACCATTTTATGCTTGTTTAGAATCTGTGTTTAATTTATTTCAGGGCCACTAGTTTATTAGCCTTTGGCTATTAAGTGTTAACTCTCATTATTAGTAGTAGTAGTATTATAAAACATTCATGTAAGGAAACGCATTCAAGCAAAGGAATAATCCAGCAAAGCAGAGTCATCCCCGCTTACCCTCAGTAAAGCTCAATTTAAGATGGATCAGCCAGACTGGACTGTAAATATATGGCAAAGTTCCTCTGTAAATATCTTTATACAGAAAACAGAATCTACAAAATGAAATTTGGAGCAACTGCAAAACGCAAAATTACTGAAGTCCATATTGTCAATGGGAACAGTCTTAAAGAACTACATGCACTACAGACATAGGTGCAGTTCAGTGAGATGAAATAAGTGGTTCTGTACTAAAAATCTACCCCCAAATCTCGTTTGATATTTTAGGAAAACACAGCCACCGCCGCGTTGATTTTGTTAGACGGTGGAGCCACATAATGTCTCCCACAGAGCCTTGTTAAGAAAAGAATTATGATTTGAAAAAGTCCATTTATACCACGACAATACCAAGACAATTTTGGGTATTACCAAGGATGACAAAATCTTCGTCAAAATCCCACCTTCGGTGAGCTATTGCCGAATACTTAAAATTTTAGTTTATACGCCCAACAAAATCGAACTACGCATGGGACGTGAATTATAAATTTTATCTACAGTACCATCAGCTAAGAAGTAAACGTTTTCGCTAAGGCGTTACCCACTGAGTTACAGATATCGATGACAAGAGTCCTTCTGCTAGCAGTTATCGCAAGGATTCTATCCTCAACAACCACACAAAAAGGAATGCTCATACAGATGAATAATGCGAGAACATGGACAGCATGCTTCTTCGATTCGACAACATGGGGGAATTTTGAACACGGCATTCAAAGAGGTTATTAGCACTTTAAACCGGCTTTTAAGCGAAAATTCAGTTAAACTTACCCGTTTGTACAAATATTAAACAGAAGTGAAGTCGATATCCTGGTAAAATGTCATAAAAGAGCTTTTCCGTCGATAAACACGAGGATGATTTGACTGCACGATGGCGTAAGAGACCGAGTTTTCATTGCGCACGCGTGGAATCTCCGAACGCGTTGAAATCGAAGAAACTGGGTCAGTGTTGAGGCTCTTACCCAGTCCTCTTGTCGACTCAACGAATGACCAACATTCTAACTATGCTGCTAACTATGCTGCAACGAAATGTCTCAAGAGTGTTATTTACTTTTTCATTTTATATGCTTCATGCAACCCTCGGTGTATCGCACAACTTATCAAGTTGACATGTTGTAGAGTGAAATATAGACCGTTGGACCTTTCCAAGAACGGTCAAGATCATAGAGCGCGAGTGACAAAAACTCAGGAGTCTATTGTCGCTACGGAAATGAGCAATGAATGAACTCGTGCAAGGGTCTCGCTCCACCAGATATTAGCTATTACCCCTGAACGGTCCAACATGTGTTAGGCTGGGCTTTTATACACTAATTCGCATTTGCGGTAAATCAAACACGTGTCATGTGAAAGTGAAAAGTTCGCGTTGCGGTTCACGACTGGACCTACTGGCTCGTGTGTCCCCTGAATCAAAGCAGGCTGCTCATCCTGAAATCCCTACAGTTGACGAGGAAGTCTTGCGCGATGAAATGACAGTAAGCTTTGAAAAGAAATCTTATAGATAAGGTACACTAATCTACAGCTGCCGATGGACTTTTGAAATATGCTGATGAAAGTTTTGAAAATGGCACACTGTGCACGTCAAGTCCGGAAGTTCATATCTATGAAAGAAATTGCTTAAAAATGCCGTTTGCTTCGTAGGTGAAACCGTTGAGTAAGACAATTTTGGGAATAAAATCTACCATGCCTTGCTCCCGGAGCTCAAATTACGGTTCGCGTCAATTTCAGGCGTGAGTTTGCATGATCTTTCATGAACGAGATCTTTATGAAGATCAAAACCATTAACTAAACGGCTCGTTGAACTGTAACACGCTTCCACTTAGCAAACAAAGCTTTCCAAATTTAACGTAGTTCGCTTCGAATTTCTCGATCTATCCTTAGTTTCTCCGACCGCATCCAAACAGGTTTTACCACACAAGCTTACACAGGTTTCATCAAAGACTCCAAGTGAAACGTGACGTAAAATACGTCACGCTTTACAAGGTAAAAGAGCTCATACATATGCAAGAACCCCACTTGAGTGGGGTTCGCAGAATTACACACTTTGTCCTTGTTGAAGTCGTCATACCGGGGCGAAAGAGAGAGGGAAAAAATGGGGCGTATTGAAAAAAAATACCTTCCTGTAAATAGCGTGAGTACAGATCAACATTCAAATGTCCCTTCTCCTGCAGGGTTAGGGGCAGGAGACGTTAATTTCCCACGCACGAGATTACTGTGTGATGGATGTCCTCCCCTGGGGTGGGATGAGTGGGTTACAGGACCCCCGTTGATACCGGTGTTTACTACACTGAAGGGGCTATCCTGTACAAATATAGATGTCTACTTCTACTACTACTACTACTACTACTACTACTACTACTACTACTACCACGAATACTCCTCCCCTGGGGTGGGATGAGTGGGTTACAGGACCCCCGTTGATACCAGTGTTTACCACACTGAAGGGGCTATCCTGTACAAATATAGATGTCTACTTCTACTACTACTACTTCTACTACTACTACTACTACTACTACTACTACTACTACTACTACTACTACTAGTACTACTACTACTTCCCTTCTAAACAAAAAGTCCCATAAACGCGAGTCAAACAAAATAAAAAGCGGTGAAAAAAAATTGATGTTAGTAGGTTGTGTGGAACTGTATATTCCTGTGCCTCACTCCCAGTGTTCCACAAGGCGCGCTAACATAATTTTTTTTTCATCGATTTTTTTTTTTCATTTTTTTGACTCACGTGACGAATATCGCCGAGAAGCAGGGTTCCGACTGCTTGTAGTCCGTATCCCGGATTCAAGTACATCAGTATGCGTCACGCCTGAATGACAAACGGGAAGAACGCAGATGTAAACTTTGGACGCGGGCCAACCACACCCACAATCAAATATTTACTTTCATACCAAGCTTATTTTCATAAGTAGTTTGTCGCTGAGTAATAATGGCGTTTAATACATTCATCACCCTGCTTTTGGTCTCTTTCTTTGGTTTGAGATTAGGAGGTGCCACGTACTGCGATAGCGATGGCGACTGTTCGGCCTTCAAGATTTGTTGCACAGGTGGAATCTGCAGAGAAAATTGTATTTATTGCTCGTACGATTACCAATGTGGTACAGGCGAGAAATGCTGCGATGGCAACTGTGCTTATTCATGTGTTTGGACGACTGGAAGCATTGCAGGCGCTGTAGTTGGTACCATAATCTTCTTTGCCATCGCATCCTGCTGCTGCTGTGCCTGTTGCCCGTACTACCGCTATCGTACACCTGGGACTGTGATTGTAAACGGAGGTCAACCGCCGTATCAGCAGATCGTGACGACGAGCACCAACACGACACAACAAGGATTTGTACGATATCCACCGCCTGGAAACTACAACCAGCCACCGCCTACTTATCCATTACCCGGTCCAGGACCGAATCCTTCAGCTCAGGTATAAGGAGAAGCCGTTTCGATACTGTTTTCCGGCTCGGTTAAGTAACATGGAGGCAAGCATCTCTTATTTTTAGATCAAGAAGCAACTCATAAATGTTAAGACATAGACTATATGCATAGCAGAGCGCAATGTTGCATAGAACGGTTGATACATTGGAGTAGAATTAGAAAAAATGCATGATGTGCATCATAAGATTCTGACGCAACCCTCCATTTCTCAACACGAAGCTGCATTTCACTCAGTCGAATGACTGAGTTGCCAATAATCGGATTCTTGTATTGGCGCAAATATGTCTGGGATCGCCAACGGACGAACATTGCGAGTTTCGCGAAGGAAATACATTGCGAAAGGTGATTTCGACGTCCAAATACCCGATTTTTTGGGAGAGATCGTCGCTTTTTCGCCGTTATTTTCTCACACATCAATTTCAGTGATATTGATAGAAATGAGTGTAAATAACCATTAAGCATTTCTTAAAATCTACCGATAAACCTCTGAATCTGCGTGACTGAGGTTTGTTGTGAAAATTGTCATCGCTTAAATGGTTCCGTTATAGTACAAAGTTAGCCACAAACCGCCAGGAAATAACCAAATGAAGTCTGCGTGGCTGTATAAAAGTGTGTACAGCCTGTCTTCACACTTGTTGCCGTTTTTAATAAACAAATAATGGCGGCTAAAAATATGCCTCAAGGGAAAGAATTCGTTGTCAGCGGAAATGGAAATTCTTTGTAACGAGCTTTTGCTCTTTGGAGGGATGAAATAAGCGACGAGAAAAGTAAGAAAATTAGTAGTAAGATGATTTTATCATTTTACTCTACATAGAGCAAAAGGTTGATGTCTATCGTTCTATATTGTAGTTTTTCGCTCCGACGATGGGCTAACGCTCGACACGTCAGCTTTTGTAATCGTTACGGTGGCGAATTTACCACTTCAACTTTGTTGATATATCCAAATTATTTCGTTACTCCCACCGACACAGCCCCAAACAGTTTCTTTCGAAACTATCAGCCTTAATTCATATTGTAGTTTGTCACGCTAGAAACCGTTTAGGGTGCTACGGAAAATTGATTAATCTCATGGCTTATCTTGATTTAGAAAAACTTTCTCAGAGTAAAGAAATCTGTCTTCTAGAAAATTGAATTCTGCTTTTTCTTTTGCAATTATTGTTTTCAAATTTGACTTTGGTAAGCAGATATTGTAAAAGGTTTTTCAGGCGCAAAAACTTTACAATCGAGTGTTTTCTGTTCGTTTGTTTGAATTTCTGATGTTTCGTATGTAAAAAAGTGATGTTAATACGCGCTTTATTAGCACTCTGAAGAGACTCAATTACATGTGCTGACAAAGTCAAAACTACTTCAAAGTAAGAAACATTCATTTTATATCTGGTAACGTTAAGATTTCCATTTACACAATAAGTTCTTTTTTATGGTTCAATTATTTTTTATAGACTAATTTGGATGTGAGGAACTATTCCTGTGCCTCACTCTTAGTTTCCCGCAAGGCACGCAAACAAATTTTTTTTTCTTCACCGACCGATTTTTTTTTTTGTTTTTTTTTTTTTGTTTTGACTCGCGCGACGAACTTCGCCGAGAAGCAGGGACCCGACTGCTTGTAGTCGCTGCGCGGCGAGCGTAGTGAGCGAGCAGCATCATAATCAGGGTTGGAAAAGAATACAGGGGATGTAATTTCTCGAATTCATTTTAGGCCTTTATTGCATCCATTTTGAAACCACTGGTGGTCCCTGTAATCTGATTGGCTCTAAATGATGCGATTTATTCACCCTTTTTTGCTTTAAATCGCATCATTTTATGCTTGACTGAGTTTTTGACACATGACGTCAGTCTTTCTGTTTTGCATACAAAATAAAATGTAAAAGCGTTTCCGGTTCCACTTTTTAATTAAAAACCGGCTCAGTACTGCATCAATAAAAAATATTTGAACTGAGCAAGTCCTGTATTTGGGCGATTTCAAAATGGATGTAATAAAGTGGTAATTGAACCTTTAGCCTGAGAAAAGCAGCCGTCCTTTCGCGGGGAAACGAAGGGAGCGAAAGGACGGCTGCTTTTCTCAGGCTATTGAACCTTGCGTCGCGCAATTTTGGTCTGAAATCGAACTTGTGATTTCAAATCGAACTCGCGCTGCGCACTCGTTCGATTTTGAAATCACGCGTATGATTTCAGCCCAAATTGCACTCCATGCACTCAGTTCAATTACCAGTATTTATCGATTGTGCTAGTAAAAGTAGCATTTTAGTAGTGCCCGATTTTTTTCCAAATTATGCTCAAAGATATGCTGGTTTTTTAAAATTATACTACTTTTCCCTAATGTATGCTTAAAAATAAAACACACAAAACTAGTCCAAAAACCAAAATTATATATTTATTGTTATTAAAACATCATATTTTCTTTATCTTGAGTTACACACTTGCTGTCTTGATATCGATGTCTCGGCTTCTCTCGACTGAGTGCTTCG